CACACACACACACACACACACACACACACAGCCTCTACTTACTTTGTATCCAAACCTGCAGGTCTCGGGCGCAGGTTGGTGACAAAGGGGGAGGACGTGCACGCACACCCAAGTTAAAGGACAAAAACCAATGTGCCTGCTGATCTCTTGTCTCGCTCCGCTTTCTCTTTCCAATCACATGCAGAGGTGGAAAGGAGGGAAGACAGGAGAAAAAGAAAAAGCATACCTCCCTCTCCCTTCTCTTCCTTCCCAGAGAGTCTCCCTCAGTCTTTTTCTTTCTCCTGCCCGTGCTGATCGAAGGAGAACGAGAAGAGAGGGAGAGATCATCCATTAATTTGCCTCACAGCTGTAATCGCTTACAGCCAGAGGCCCACTTTTCCTCTGTATCAGACAGGGTGGGGGGGGTTAGGGGCAGGAGAAAGTCGTCCTTTTCTCCTTTTTTTCTCCCACCTCGCTGTTGTCCATTTTCCAAACAGAAAACAAATCCACTCTTTTGCTGGCATGCAAAGAAAAACCAACAAAAATCCACTTTTCCAGTCTTTCTGTCTGCTGTCTTATTCTGCGCCTCACACCAGCCGACCTCTTTCACACTATCCTCTCAGAGAGAGAGAGAGGGGCCATAGAAACATTGCTACATGATGTGCTTTGGCTTATACAGGCTACATTTAATCTCCACTGGCTCCCCCAGGCTTTGGTATGGAGAGAGAGGGAGAGAGAGTGAGAGGGAGGGAGGGAGGGAGGGAGAAAAAGAGGAGAGATGATGGGGGGAGGGACAGATGGAGCGAAACGAAGGAGAGCAGCGACCTACAACTGGCTGCAGGCTCAAATCAGCGACGGGGCTCGAAGAGGCTGGGAAGGAGAGAGGAAAAAAAGGAAGAAAAGAAAAATCCCCGAGACCACACTGCCCTCTTGCTTTCCTTCTGCGAGCGATCGACCGCCTGCGTCTGCAGCCCGGCTAATCTCCCGTCACGTCGTGCTGCTTCTCAATGCAGCTGCAGTAGAAAACCGAGCATCTGGATCTGCAGCACGATCCACCTCTGTAAGACGGCCGATTTGAAAAATAATCATGCTACATATTTTACAGTCTCCCCGTTGACACGTTCGCGTACGTGTGCACGCGCAACACACACACACACACACACACACAATGCAGCAATCCTCATTTATCACCTGCTTTGTGTCCAGATAGAGCCAGTCTTCTGTCAGGTGCTAATATTAGCCTGCTTTGATGGTGAGAGCCTGCAGCAGGCAGACAAAGGCGCACACGCATGCACGCTGAGGCGTGTAGGCTCAAATACAAGTATGGTTAAACTTCACACGCGTGTGGATAAATGTGCAAAAGTCAAAATAATAAACCACCTGGCTAATGAAACTTTGCATCCAGCTCAGGTGCCACCGATTTACCCATCCCATTCCGCTCTCTCCAAGTATTTATTATCTGCTGGTAACGGCCAGGAATCTGCACCCGGCCAGCCAAGCGGTACGTCAAGAGAGACCCAGATCTGTCAGGCTGTAGCCCACGCGCACGACAACAAAGCAGCAGGACTGCAAACAAACCTGCAGCAGCAGGTCTGCAGAGCCAGAAACAAACACGGCCGCTGGGTGGGGCGATGACGGGCATGACGCGCTCCCGACCGGAGAACTTGATTGACACCTGTCACATCGGACCATCGCAGCTGAGGTCGGGAGGTCGTTGCTATGGCAACGGGGATGGCGAAAAGAAAGGTTCAGGAAGAGGACGTCTGACCTGTGCTGACTGGATTTCTGTGAAAATCATCCATGTTCAACTGGAAACAGTGCATAAACATTTTGCAGTAATTAGCACCATCAGGAGATTTTTCTGTGTGATGTCAGTAACCTGATGGCGTGCTGACCCGGAGCAAAGCTGGCCGAGAGTCGTTCTGCAGCAAAGGCAGATGCAAACATTAAACGTTGTGTGAAATGTTGCTAAACTACTCACCAACACAGTAAAGATGTGAGATAACATTACGCACAGGAAAATGCTGAAAACCAATAATCAACGTGCTCATGAGCAGCACTCAGCAGTGAACACAGCTCACTCAGAAACCATCCACAAATGCAAGTTTGAAACACATAAATAAATATGATTCAGAAATGGAAGCACTTTATTTACTGGAAAACTCCCTGTGGTCTCACTAATTACAACATCTTTGGAAATTACAGATGCTGCATTCTGTGGCCTGAGAGCCAGTGATGCTCAATGACGTACACAGTCTATGGAGCGATACATCTGCAGCGTTTCTTTGTCACTGAAGGTCTTGCTCATTTCAGCAAGACAGTGCCAAAGCACACTCTGTACGCAAATTTAGCCTTGAAATGATTAAAGGACCCACAATCAATCTTGTTTTCATTTCACAGAGCATACAAGCTTTTGTAGAAACTGAGTTTTCGTGATTTTAATCTTGATTTTCTTTTTTCTTTTTACCAAACCTGATAACAAATAAAGGCTTGACTAGAACAGGTCAACTAAAAAGGTGCACATATACTCTTGACTTCTTAAATGTATTTTTAAAAGTGTCAAATTCTGCAAAAAAAGATGGAAAACGTAACTAAAACTTTCTCCTGGGACTGCCCACAGATGTATGCCCACATGGTCAATGTAAAAGCACACATGCATTTGTACAAATTAAATTATTGCAGTCTTCTAACCTGAGGTGGATCCTTCACAGGGTTAACCAACAGGGGGCAGCCTTATGCTCCTCTGCTGTAAACATATGCACTTGTAGACAAGTGCCAGGCCTCAGTATATAACATATGAAGGCCAGTGCGCTCATGTTACTGCTGCTGAAGAGGGAGTGTTGGACGCTGTAAATCCAGCAGGTTCACTGCTGCCAGCAGCAAAGCAGAAGAGGCAAAACGTCAGGGTTAGAAGACAGCCGCAGAGGGAAGAGCTGCTCGGTTTGCATTCAGGATTAGAGTTCAAATATTGCTGTTTTGATTTCTTTGCAGATCCACTCCAAGGCTGGAGAAGCCAGCCCAGAACCATGAAAATGTCTGTTTTGCTGTGCAGTAATCATTTCAATCAGTTTATTTCCTGTTCCTCCCTGACTGTCACAATATTTCACATGTCACACAGAATGACAGCAGCAGTCTGCATCTGCCGATTGGAAATATTGTGACAATAATTGTCGAGGCTGACAGCAGACGTTACTGATGGCGAGCGGACTGGGACGCTACAGTGGCGGGCTCCCGTTTGAATCCCGTGCTTTTCTCCCCTTCGTATCCATCACCGCACAAACAGCAAGACCGAAACAGCCGGCCTCCTTCCACGCAGTCATCGGCACTAATGAGGTTATCGCCGTTGCCTCGGAACGGAAACCCGGTGACGCTTCGGTGCACGTCAGTCCTATCGGCCACGCAACAATGCAGCGTTTCTGATCTCACAGGCCAACGCTGCTGCCTTCACATCAAACATAGAGTACAGATCTCCGCTGCCAGCTGGCACACAAACAGAGCTGGAGTCGTAAGTACGCAAAAAATTACAGGAAGAGACATTCACACTTCGGCTGTGGACATCCGATACACTGCAGCACAAGCAAAACATGTCAGAAAATTACTGTCAACAATTTTGGGAATAAATGAAGAAAATGTTTCTCAGTTTTTGGATAGTTGGCGAGACAAAATAAGAAGTTTATTGAACCCAAAAGAAACATCAATGAAACCAGAAAGAGGCATTTCAAAATATTTTCCACAAAGGTCCAGATTTAATGCTTCACAATATTAAAATGCAAACGGGTATCTGACCCCGAACAGGCCACAGACCAACTCGTGATGTGCAAACACACACACACACACACGCGCGCGCACTAACAGGCCAAAAAGTGTTGGGAAATGTTATTGACCACGTTGAGTGTGCGGTATCTCGATTTAGCACGCCGTTAAATAATAACAGTGGACTATATTGATCCAGCTGTGCAGAGTGCCGTGCATACCTCAGGGAAAGCTAGGAGGTTGTACAGTTATCTCCCGGGGTGTAATTCTCAACTATACAACCTACTACCTCAACCTGGGAGCAAGCAGACCTGGCCAACAGGGCTCAATGGCAACAAACACGTGAAGCAGGAAAAGGAAGCTGCTCGCGGGCTCAAACAGTCGTATCTTATTGGTTCGTGACATCACTCCATCCCATCTGTCTTGGCAGTGCAACTCTGTATCTTAGATACGGTCTCTATATACAAAGCAGATAAACATGCCTTACTCCACAGCTTCTCCAAACCCCTGTCTTCTCATTGACCCTCACACACACACACACACACACACACACACACACACACACACACACACACACACAGACACAGACACACACACACACACACAACACAGACACACACACACACACCTCTGCCCAAATGCTGGCCAGATTTTTAAAGTCGCCTTGGAGTCAAAAATGTTGCACTTCTCGCTGCGTTTGGCCCTTCGAGCTTTCCTACGCAGAGAGAGGAACGTGCACACCTGACACTACAGTACATACACAACAGTGACATCAATGTCACAGCTGCTAAAGGTCTCCAACATGAGACCTGAATCCATCAGTGCACACACACACACAAACACACACACCCACACACACACACACACACACACAACCAAACACACACACACACGCACACACACACACAAACACACACAGAACCCACACACACACGCACGCACACACACAAACACTCACACAAGCTCTCACACACACACACACACGCACACACACACACGCCGCACACACACACACACACACACACAAAACGGCCAGAGAAAAGCACTGACCAACAAACCCATAATCTGACTGGTCACATCTGCAGATGTCCAAAAGACCTCGATTACATCAACAGTGACAAAAGAAATCTAGAAAAGGCATCGTCCATGATTTTACACACAGCTGAAAAAGATTACCGTATGGAACTACAGAAAAATATTTCCACATTTCTTCAAATTACTAATGTATATTTCTGTAAAACCAGGTGCAGGGAAACAGTCTGTTATTTAAAGGGTTTCTTGTGAGCTAATTTGGAATTTTTATGGTTAAAAACATCAAATAAAAATCAGTTCTTGAAGCAGTATTTTACATTTTTCTGGAGGGGGGGATAAGAAATTAAAAATGCTTCCTGCTGCTCTTTTTTAACTGTCAGCATATGAGAAGTAATGGCCATTTGTGAGAAAACAAGCATTACTGACTGTCATCTGTATGCATTCTCTAATTGGGCCAGCGTCTTCTTCATTAACACCAGGAAGGCCACACCGCAGCTAATTGACTGCTGACTGAAGAAACCTGCTGAGTTTTCTGCAAGCTAACATTTGAAATGCACACAAGCTGTAATTACATTTTTGCTTTTAATTGACTCCTTGTTGGCTTACTGTTAACCTCTCAAAGTCCCATTTCTTCTTCTACAAAGAAACCATTTCAGCTCAGAGGACGTGTGAGGAGTTTTGTTGCACAGATAAACGGCGATTCGATGTATTTAGAGTAAGAAGTTAGAGTTCAGCTACAATTCAACCCCAGGACTGTGTCTGTGACACAAACAGTTAAAGCTTTTGGGAGCCCGTGCACAGCCCCCGCCGTTTGCCGCTGATCCTTCTTGGGGTGGTTGGAGCTGCACAGACGCAGACCTGTAGATACAAGCTTGTGGTGTCACTTAACACAAGTTCGGATCTACGGGTTTGGGGCTGCGAGCAGATGACTTCAGGAATCCATCAGCGTGGCGACACGGAACAAATGAGCAGCTTTAATTATGGAAATCTTTTAGATTTATGGCAAACGTATTTGTCTGCGTGTGTGCAACAAGTCCGACTGTTTCCCCGAGCAGCAGGAATCAGCTCGAAAGGCAGCAAAGAAGAGAAAAGCTCGATTCCACCAATTAACACGACTCATAGCTCCAAGTGTGATACTCTCTGAGCCCAATATTCAGCTTCAGCCTGGAAAAATGATTCACGAGTGAGCAAAGTTTAGCCTTTAACAGAAAACATTTAATCGCTGTGTTGAATGCAAAAATAAATAAATAAATCCACATAGAAAAAAAAAAGAACTGAAATAATAATTATAAATAATTTTCCCACAAAAACAATCATAAAACCTTTATTTATGCCTCAGCACACACTGGAGTCACTCACTGTAGGCCCACAATGCACTGCATCACAGCCAGATACTTGAACCTCATATTATGCGCCTGCAGTAGTTACGCCGGCTCCTCTGTCCCACTCTGACAAAGTCGTTTCACTGAGCGATGGCTGGAAAAATTCCCGCATGTGGCTGCTAACAGAAAATGTTCTAAACAGCAGGAAAAATGCTCTCTTCAAAAAATCAGTCAATGCCAGCTTGAATTTCTGGATTATGCTGAGTTCAAACTAATACAATTAAAGACAAAAGTTCTTAAGAAATGCTATTAAAGAGGTTTTAATAACTGAATACAGAATTGCGGCACAGATATTCATTATTTGACATTTGCTGGAATTACAAAAACAATAACGATAAAATATTTACAATTTTGATTTCTGGGAAAGAAAAAAAAATTACAGCTTTTAATTTTGCAAATGTTTTCCAGCAAATTCACAGTATAAAAATGTGATTGCAGGTAAAACCCAGCGATGCACTTTAAGATGACGCGGAGCCCACATTTGAACACATTCTTGTCTAATGTTGTCGTTCTGCAGCACAAACACCAACAGAAGTAAACAGAATGAGTTTTAACTTTCAGACATTTAAACTTCCTTCTCCTTCTTTTCCCTCGGCCTGAATTTAAATGTGATGTCTGACTTTGAAGCTGTTGCCAAGTTGCTTAAAGTATGTCAGTGGGTCTCTGCCAGCGAGCTGAAAGACACCTTGAGATTGGCCGAACAAAGAGGTCGGCGGGGGCCGCAGCACCCTGCCAGCCCGCGCTGCTTCACCAGCGTGCGTGTGCGTGCGTGCCAGAGACAAACTAAAACAAGCAAAAGGCCACCACCTGCATTGTTCGGCAATGAACAACAGCAGTGGCAGCCAAACCCAGCGGTGCTATACGCCCAGTCTACCCAGCAACAGAGGTGGTGGTGTGTGTGTGTGTGTGTGTGTAAGAAAGGAAAGGGGGCAGGGGGGTCAACAGAGGTGAAGGAGTGAGAGGTGAGGAAGTGGCATGTCGTTAGCACTTTGTAATATCATGCAGCGTAAACAGATATTCCTCGCGGGCCAACAGGTAGCATCAGGCCCGTTTCACCACAGCAAACAGCAAACGGTAAACACGACAGGAAAAATCTGCAACCACACTGCTCAACATTACCAGCCTGAAAGCAAAGAAAGGGAAAAAAAGGTCCGAGGACACTGGTAGCACGATGACTTACCGATTTGCCTTTACGTTTAGTTTCCAAATGTTTCTTTTCTCTACTCTGCAGGGCCTACGGTGCTTTGGCAGAAGGTACGGGCAATCATTTCCACTGTGGCCCATCGAAAAGAAGAACAAAAAAAGGCTCAAACATGCAACTACAGTAGCACGAGCACCCTGAAAGGCAGCTCGAGAAGAGGGTAAAGAAAGAGTGAGACAAAAGAAAAAAGGCAAAGGGAAGAGAAACTAGTGAAGGGGGAGAGAAGGAGGGAGAAGGAGAAAAGTGAGCGATAAGAGAGAAAACCCAGTTTTTCTTTTTGGTGTTTTTACAATTTTGCTTTAGCGCGCGGCAGCAATAAGAACTATACGCAAGCGAGAAGCCTGTTAATTCTACAAACTGCCTCCCTGCACTACGAGCAAATGACAAGCAGCATCTGTTTGTAACACGGCCAAGATCCCAGCCCTACGAAGAAGAAATTAAAGTGAAAAAAAGGTTTGATTTTCCTCTTTTTCAGTCTTTATCTGCAAAATTCTCCTCCTCTCTTTGACTCCCTCCCTCGCACAGCTGAATAAGGCAAAACAGAAAAGAGAAAGGGGAGTGTGGAAAAGCAGCGAAAGGAAAATGCAGCCATGAAGCCGTCCTCCTGTCACCCCTGAACCTCTCCCCCTCTCCCTTTTTTCCCCTCCTCTTCCTTGCACACTCCTTCCTCCTCTTCTCCTTCCTCTGCATTCAAAAAGCAGGGAGGACAGGAGAGTCCAGGTACAGCTACTACTCACTCAGTCCTTCTCTTCCCAAAATGCCCTACTACTCCGACACAAACACTTGGAGACGCACACACGCACACACGCACACACACGCACACACACGCACACACACACACACACGTATCCTCGTCTCCCAGAGCGTCACACACAGCCAGAAGCAGACTAACTTGCATGCACGTACACACTCGTGCGTGCACTAACGAGTGCATATACAGAAACACACACATGCACGCACACATTTCTTGGAAAGCTTCCCCGCACCAAAAACAAATACCAATCTTTAGTTAGCCTCAGCTGCGAACAGAAAAGAAGGAGTCATTTCGGGACTTGGCTCTGGTTTACCGAGGCACAGATACAGACCATTTCTCCATATGCCTGCCTTTCACAGCTCGGGAGCAGCTCCAGATTTCACTGTATCATAATACTGCAAAAAATGTCCTCTGTCACTGATATCTTTTGATAACATGCAGCTCCAGTAATAAGACCGTGAGAGTGGCCGGCACTGGGCGAACACCGGGAACAGGGGCTTGTTCGGCACGGTTTTAGTCTCAGAGCGATCAGGTGCAGAGGTGCAGCTCTGTAAATGCTGGTGACAGCACATACACTCTGGTCCATCATAGGACATGAGTGGTTAGCAGTTGAATCGATACGGCACTCAGATAGTTTTGAAATACGCACTCCCAACTGACAGAGGGCTGCAAGTTTGGGCTTTTTCACACAAATTAAATTCAGGTAGAAGATGCAGATATCTTCAAGAATTCAACTGTAGCAGTATCAGCTCCTTGAGACCCACTGAAAGCTTACTCTGTCCCTGGTACTCTTTGGTGTTACAGACTGGCTGTTTTGGCAAACAGCCGTGTGCTGCATGCTGACATCACATCACAGGAATTCTGGGTATTCAAGTGTAAGAAATAGATTGTCCGAAAATAACGCATGTGCGGATCCGATTACACAGTTTGTGGGCAGAGGCTCAAGCACTCGACTACGCCAAACCTTTACCAATCCGCAGCCATATTTGATTTTATCATAGATTTCACCCTGAAATAAGTTTGGTCTATTTTAGCGTTATTCTGTGTTGTGCCTTCAATTGATGGGGTTTTTTTTCACTTGTCATTCTGCAAACAGCGCTAGTTTGTGCCACAAGGGGTCAACATTTAGTCATCTCGCACTAGTTTTTCTGAAACTAGGAATTACTTCCTGTCTTTAGAAAAAACAAAGACATTTTATTTATAAGAGTCTGTCGTTTCAAGTTCCTTTATATTGTAAAAGCCTAAAGTAATAGAGAGAAAACCCCAACAATCAAACTACCCCGTTTGAGCAAGCACTTGGTGACAGTGGGAAGGAAAAACTCTCTTTTAAAGGGAAGAGGTCACCTGGTATTCCCTCCCAGGAAGTCTCCCATCCACGTACTAACCTGCCATACACGGCTAAGCTTCCAACATTAGAAAGGACTGAGAAACACTGAAAAAAGGTGGCCACACCGTAGCAAAGTGTTGTCCCACTTTTTCAAACAGATTACTGCT